ACACACACACACACACACACACACACACACACACACACACACACACATCTGTGTGTATTTGTGGGTTCTGAATCCATGAGTCAACTAAGAAGCATAGATAAAGAAAACTGCGACTGTATTAAACATGCATAGTTCTTATTGTCATTAATCGCTAAACCATGCAATGCAATAACTATTTACACAATACATCATTATTAGAAATATTTTGAAGTATATAGGACGATATGAATAGGACCTAAGCAAATAGACGTTTTACACAGTAGTCTTGAGCAACCACAGGCTTTAATATCCTGAAAGGTTCGAGAAATAAGAAATTATATATGTGAACACATGCGTACACACACAGACACAAATATACATACACATACATCTCTTATACAGCAGTAGACTCACTTGTACAAATTGTCCAGAGGGTTTTATCACCAAAGCAAACTACTTTGGAATGTCTGTGGCACAAGGTGTGCTCGGAGGCTCTGGCATATATTCCTGCTTTTAGTCTGTGCCTCAGGCAGCCCAGCCAAGCCATGTGGCAACATTGTTGGTAGTAAAGAAAGTCCCTACGGGGATCCTGGATCTGGCCTGATCCTGCAGGATACTTCACTCTGGGTGCAGTGATCTCGCTAAAAGAACCTAGAGACCATGCTGCCTGCCTGGCATGGTCTTTTCACCCAGGGCCACTCACTGCCTATCTTTGCCTGAGCTCTCTGCCCTGGGGAAGAGAGCCTTCCATAGCTCTGCCAGCCACTGCATGCATGGCTGCCCTGGTGGCCATCTGGGGCCCTCATTGTCAACCTTCTAAATACACTGATGACAGCTCTAACATTGATGTCCCTTTAAACCCAGTAGCATCCCTTTTGTGCACAGAGGGTGTTTGCTTGGAAACCCTAGGGACATTCTTCCTCCTGATGGCTTCCACCTAAGGTCTTGGCACAGCAAGTATGCCTAGCTGTCAGGGCCAAGCCAGTACAAAGGGAAGATCTGGGACTCCTTGACCATCTTCCCCCTTTCTGAAGATGAGCATTCTCTCAATTGTTCTTTATAGATCCAAAGTCGGAGGAAAAAGATACTGGACGTGTATGCCAACGTGTGTGGTGTTGTTGAAGGTAAGGACTAGAGAACCATTCAGAGCTGGATGTGGTGGGCACACCTTTAGTCCCAGCACCTGAGAGGCAGAGGCAGGCAGATCTCTGTGAATTTGAGACCAGCCTGGTCTACATAACAAGTTCCTGGTCTGCCGGGGCTACATAGTGAGACTGTCTTAAACGAACAAACAATGAAAAAGAGCCATTCGGGGCTCACTCCCCAGATGATACCCCCCCCCCAATGCCAGGCTCCTGTGTGAGGAACTGAGGACAGTCATCCACATCGGATGGGGGTTGTCAGGCCGCCATCAGAATGGCCAAGTGAACTGACTTCTGATGTGGAGGGAAAGGGAATCTGGTTCCTGCTTAGGCTGAAGCATCCCATAGTGCTCCCCTCACAGGACAAGAGACTCCCAGTACGTATGCTGGTGCAGTGCCACATGGGGACAGAGTGACGGGGTCCCATAGCTTCTGTGCTTGTGTCCGCATCAATACTGTCATCAGGGAGATGTCCGGTGACATTCAGTAGTCAGTGCAATGGGGACACATTCTAAGAAACACGTGGGTATGAGAATTTTGTCCTTGTGTCAATATAGACTATACAGTCACAAACGAAGATGGTGGGGGCGTCAGTCGGTGCACTATGGAGTGAGCCTTTTCTGTCACTGGCAGAAACATCATCATGCAGGGTATGGCAGTTTCACAAGGCACACTGAACGGGCCTTGGAGGGCTCTCCCCTCCTTCTAGAACAGCCACATGAGCAGCAAGGTCCGACTGCCTGCCATGGGCAGGTAAGAAGTAGAAACATTCCAGTGTGTGATCCTCCTGGACGCTACAAAATCCAGCTCCTAAATTAGCTTCTATTCACCCTGGAAATAACCCCACACTGCTTATGTCAGGGGACTTTCCTCCCTCCCGCCTTGCTGGCATCCCTCCACACACCCCTGGTCTGGTTGAACTGTGGGACTGAGGAGAGTCACATGCTGCCTGCCACTCATGCCCCCCATGTGGGAGAAATACAGGCCCTGAGCCGGGGCAGGCTGGTTAGATGCTCTGTTTGGCCAGAGGTAACCACTGCGCAGGAATTCCAGGGCCAAGAATTCTTCTTGGCTGCCTTCAGAAACATGGCATGGCTCCATAAGTACATGCCTGGTCAGCCTGCTGGATCAAGCTTGGCAGGGTGGGTGCTGCTGGCTGCCCAGAAGAATATGGTCTGAGAGTTACATACATTCCAGCACCCCCAAAGCTCTTCTCTGTTCCAAAGAATGTCTTGGCTTTGAAAGACCAAGCCCAAGGGACTGTGGCTTTCAAATGAATTTAGAACTCCAACCTCCAGTGAGCCCCGTGGGGTGGGAGCTTCAAGCCCGTGCCCTCGGGTGCTCCTGGACAGCACAGGCATGGGTGCTTCCTAATGCCACAGTAATAAGACACAGCCAAGGCTGAGTCCTTCAGGCCCACATGGCTTGGCTCCCAAGACCATTAGAATCACACGAAGACCTTAATACTCACTACCTCTGCCTATCCAGCCACCCCTCCTTCCTCAAGATCCCAGTGTGGTTAGTATGGGGTGAACCCCAGACACCAAAGTCCTCCAGTTCTTTTACAGGTTTTCATTGTGGTATATCCCCCCATTGCCCCACAGACAGAGTTTCTCTGTGTAACAGCCCTGGCTGTCCTAGAACTCACTTTGTAGACCAAACTTGCCTTGAACTCATAGAGATCTGCCCTGTTTCTGCCTCCCAGGTGCTGGGATTAAAGGCGTGCACCACCACACCCGGCTTGTGGTATTCTTACCACTTGGTGCTAAGAGGTAATAGAGCAAAGCCTGGGTGCTCTTCTCCCAGCTTCTCCTGATGGTAAAAGCTCACAAACCCCCCTAAAAGTTACAACCAAGGTGTTGATGTTGACACAGTAGACAGTGACCCCTTCCACTACACAGGGGATTCTCCTGCAGCCCTGTCAACCACTATTCTGTTCTCTATGGCTGTAATTTTGTCATTTCAAGACTATTATAAAAGTCAACTTGGGGGCTGGAGAGGTGGCTCAGTGGTTAAGAGCACTGGCTGCTCTTCCAGAGGACCCAGATTCAATTCCCAGCACCTACATGGCAGCTTACAGCCATCTGCAAGTCCATTTCCAGAAGATCCAACGCCCTCTTCTGGCCTCTGTGGATACTGCATGCACATGGTGCACAAGCATACTTGTAGGCAAAACACCCATATATGTTAGATACACATTTTTAAATATTGTTCTAACTTGAATCATACAGTACCCACTCAGTGATTAGCTGGTCTCACATACCATAATTCAGTGGAGAGTTAACCGGGTTTGCCGTGTATGTTAGTGTCGTGGGAGCTTTTGAGTAGCCTTGGAAATGTCTACATAGGCAATCGTATCTGCAAACAAGGGCAGTCTTACTCTTCCCTTTCTAGCCTGTGTGCACTCTTTCTTCTCTTGTCTGGCTCCACTGCTTTGGCACGAGGTCAACTATGAGCACTGAGAGCAGAGCCCAGGTCCTCCTGATCCCAAGGAAATGCTCAGCTCTCACCACTAAGTACAAGGCTGGCTCCGGACTTTTTATAAAAGTCACAGCAACTTTTAAATACTGGAACCAGAATTACACCCCTAGAATAAATGTCACTTATCATGGTACATAATTCTCTGTTCCTTTGTTGAACTCTATTTGTTAATATTTTGTTCAAGATACTGGTTTGGGTATCAGATTGGGAGATATTTCCTTCTATTTTCTGGAAGAGACTATTTAGAACTTATGTTAATTCCTTTTAAACACTTGGGAGGAGTTTAATACTGGGCCCCCTTGACTTCGATTTGTGACGTGTGACCGTGACCGTCCCTCTTCTAGGTCTCAGCCCCACAGAGTTGCCGTTTGACTGCCTTGAGAAGACCAGCCGGATGCTCAGCTCCACCTACAACTCCGAGAAAGCGGTCGTGAAGACGTGGCGCCACCTTGCCGAGAGCTTTGGACTCAAGAGGGATGAGATCGGGGGCATGACCGATGGCATGCAGCTTTTTGACCGCATCAGCACCGCGGGCTACAGCATCCCAGAGCTGCTCACGAAGCTGGTGCAGATCGAGCGGCTAGATGCCGTGGAGTCCTTGTGCGCAGACATACTGGAGTGGGCCGGGGTGGTGCCGCCTGCCTCCCCGCCCCCAGCCGCATCCTGAGGAGTGTGCCTTGGACTGTCCCCCCCTGGGACCGGCTGGGGATCCAACGAGGCCACTGCAGCTGTGAGCGATGCCATCGGACTGCCAAAACTCAAGGCTTTTCCTGGTGGGTCGCCGTATTCCTTAGGCTGACCTGAGGAGCCTGTTGAGTGCTCAAATGAACATGTGGGGCTGACACGGGTGAAGAATCGGATCCCGTCTTTAAGGAGGCCCCTGGTGGGAGACAGAGGGCATGCTACAGACCGTATCACCAGCCCATCAAATAGGCCAAATGAAGGGATGCTGAGAAAATGTAGCCAAAGCTCTAAGAAGGGTGATGGCTTCTCGTGGAGTTGAGAAATGGGGGCAAGCTTATGAAGAAAATAGCTTGACGGTTTTAGTAAGATGGCCATGAAGTCCAGCCACCCCACTTCCTGCATTGCTTCAGACGGAGCAGTTTGTTGGTGTGCTCTATGGTTTCAGGGGTAACTTGACCTGTGTTTGTGGTCGCCCACAATGACAGAAGCCTTGCAGTCACTAGTGGAAGAACGTGGTGTATGTCACTGGCACACAAGGCGTGTCTGCCCAGCCGAACCCAAGTGTGGGCAGATCTGGCCTCTAGTGGCACTCACAGACACAAGCAGTTACAATGTGTCAGGCTGTTTTTACTTCAAACAGGTGTCTGTTCTCTCTACAAAGGGAAATGGTGACTTCCTAAGAGTTTGACCATGCCTGATTCTAGACTTCAGGGGTGGCCAAAATTCGTGGATGAGGCTTGTGTGAGTTCAGACACAGCATCCTGAGCCAGTGAGGGATGGTGGAGCCTGAAGTGCAGTACAGACCTGGGGCCTGGAGTCCTGGCCCTGGGGGAGTCATGGGGGGGGGGCTGTCTTCTCCTCCCCAAGACTGAGCTTTTCTCCTGCAAATGAGAGCTTGGTCTTCATGTTTGTTTGTGGTCAGGAAAGTTAAGGCTCAGGTGAGCAAAAGAAAATGGAGGCAGGACAGGAGAGGCCAAGGGAGCCTCCATGGGGTAAATACAGTGTGGGCGGCCACACAAAATGAGAGTATGAGGGAAACTCCTATCCGGTATTCTCATGTAAGGGCAAATGTAGGACAGAGTATTTACAGAGACAAAGCTTATAAACGGGCATTGTTCTTGGCAGATTCTTACTTCACCTCTAACTGCCAAGAAATGGGAAGTCGGGGAGCTTTCCCGCCAGGGGGTTAATGCCCAGCCGGCTGCTGGGCTCCCTCCTGAAGGCTGACGGTAGTGATCGTTAAATTACAATAAAGCCTCTGATTTAGAAAGCTGTGGGTTGGCTTTTCGTTTGTTTTTTTAAAGTCATAGGCCTTTTGGGGTGGGAATCGGTGGTATATTTAAAACCATCAAGCCATTTCCTACCATTGAATATAGAACAGACTGTGAGAGGACCATAGTTAGGTCCTGAATATTTAATATGATCATTTTACTGTGTCTGTTTGTGCTTTTTTTTTTTTTTTTCAAAGATGGTGTTTGCTGTATCCTGCAAGTTAAACAGTCTGTTTAATTATCCTTTTAATTCCTCTTTGAGATCCTGCAGTGCCCCTTACCCCTGGTCATCAGTAATGATGCTGAGCGTCCCCTTAATTAGACTGTAAATGTCATCTGTGATGAGTGAGCAGGTCTAGGAGAGCAGGATCCTCTCCCCCCAACTGTCCCTCTGGTGAAGAATGGGCAGCTGCAGTCGGCAGTGTGGGCTGGCTTCAGTTCACCCTATTAGATTTCAGGGCTTGAGGGCAGCCAGCGTCCATGTTGTTTCATTGACTCCCAGCTTGCTGATTTAGGGGAGCTAGTCCCTTGTCATTTACTTTATTTGGCAATAAATCCAGGAAAGGTTTGCTACAATGAGCTTTGCCTATGCTGTGGAAATCAGAACCAGCAAGACCGTAACGATTCTCACTGACCAATGCTGGCACTCCATGCTGCCATTTTTGTCTGGAGACTGTCATTATTTTCCAGTACTTAAAATTATTTAGTAAACACCCAGGCTAGGCCTGAGGCCCTTAGCTGGTGAAGTCGTAATTACGAGTATTTTATGTAATTTGTTTATATAACTTATTATATTTTTATATGATCGATAAATGTGTTAATAAAAAGAAGGCTTCAGATTGGTACCCTGCGAACTCTTATTGAGTGGTGTGGTGTGAGTGGAGAAGGCCTGACTGCTGTGTTCCTGGTCACTGTATTGTGTGTGATGAGACTATGGGACTGTGGCCATCCATAAATAAGGTATATAAATGTTAGAGCAGGAAGGTGTTCACTAACAGGAGCAGGCATATATGGGGAATACATGAAAACACCATGGGACACTGTTTTCCATGTGGCCACCATTAGTTATAAACAACGCGCTAGCTGCTACGACAGCGTTACTACCAAATACAGTGTCTCAGAGCACAGTGGCTTCTGTCTGGCTTGGGGTTCAGTAAGGGCTAGGGGGGTCAACTGGCCTGGGCTGTGCTCAGGCTTCTGTCTGCTGGGAAACCTTGAAAAGGGCAGTTCTGCTCCATCATCCCTCATCCTCCTCCATAAACCAGCTGGAGACAGGGAGCAGGATGGGGGCCGTGTGAAAGGTTGGGCTCAGAACTGGGCTCCCTGTCATTCCTGGCTCATCCCACGGGCAAAGCAAATCAAGTGGCCAAAGCCGGAGGTAAGAGTGAGGGAGACTGCCCCAGTGTACAAGGAGGGAACAAGTAACAATGAGCATGGGGAGTCAGGGGACGTGTCAATCAGCCGCAAACACTCAACAGCAGCAGCTGAGTTGTTAGACGTCTCGCTGGTGTCCCAGAGAGTTGGAGAAGTGCTCATCGTAAGGGAACAAAACCTGTCGGGTAGGTCTGAATGGTCCAGATATCAATTTTGTTTCCCTTAGCAGGAGCTTAATTTTAAAATCCCAGTGTGGAGATAAGAAGGTGGAAATGGGAAGAGAGGGCTGAACCTATAAGCCTGACAGTCACCCCAAACATGCACATCACACGTCCTAGAAACACCTCACGTTTCCAAGGACATGGGCTGCTGGTGTTCCTCCATGCATCTTTCTCCCAGGCACCACTGGCACGGCTTACGTTTTGATTAGGGACCACGTTCCTCTTCTCAACAGCAATGTCAAGCCTCTTCTCTATGCCTCAGTTTCTTCTCTATATATGGGGTAATAATAATAATAATAATAATAATAATAATACATTTCTTTTGGGGATTGTTGTGTAAATCCAGTAACCAATACAAAGCACTTCCCCTAGCACGTGATGTTCAATAAATGTACACTCTAGTTTCAGCATTATTAGCTGTTCTTTCAGGCTATGGAAACTAATAAGCTTACTGCAACATTTCCTAAGTAGGTTTCGGTTAACAAAGATTATTGTAAGACTTGCTGGGATCCCCACTAGGAGCATTAGTCTCGGCGTAGGATAGAAGGGAAGAGGAGGTTGGCTGGACTCTGGCACACAGATTCTGTCCCTCCCCAGGGGGGAAGTTGCAGCCCTTTCACAGAAGACTCTCTGTCCCCATGCCCTGCAGGCCCTAGACCATGGCATCTACCGTATGGGAGGTTCACGGCTCCCTCATGCCACAGAGAGTACTTCTGTCTTTAAATCCACTTTCCAAATGCCAGAGACAACTGCCGTGAACTAACCTGACCTCTAACAACAACCAAACATCCTACAGTTCATTTGCAACTCGAAATTCAGTGTACAACATGGATAAAAGAGCCCTTCAAAGTTGCAGTACATCAAACGAATGTGGTTACTTTGACTTTTATACCTAAAGCCATGGTATCTGGAGAGGGTTGAGACAACCCCCTACAGTGTTGTGTGGCCTCGGCCTGCACAATTACAGAGACCTGGTCTTCAGTGGCACTGTGTGTCGGATGTATCTTTATCAGTAGCTTCTGTGGTACTTCTTCAGGAAGGGGAACTTAACACAAGCAAGACAAGCCATGCTCACACTAGCAGGGTAGCTCATTGGGCATGGATGAGTCTAGGAAGGCCTGGTCTTCAGATATTGCTGTACGAAGTCTGATAATACCTGGAGGAAGCACATAGGCCCAGGGATGAAGGAGGCAGGTGTCGGCTCCACTCCCACCTGCTACCTTAACATCTCATAGCCTCAACGTTACTAGGGTATTACTTGGATGACCCCAACCCCATTATTATTGCTCTGTATTTGGGGAGGGGCAAATTATCAATATAATGGATTGGTGGTCCTGTTCTGACCCCCAAGGAACTGTAGTTGCAGGTATGGCTGTAGGGTCTGGTCTTGAGCATTGCAGCTGTGTGGACTTGGACCTGGTACACAGTGTCATACCTCACTACCCAGCTACCTGCAGGAAACGTGTGTTGTGTTCTCGGAAGCTCCCCAGTTTACTCGAAGCCTCTGTCCACACTGCTTTCCGCTCTGACTCTTTGTCAGAGCACACACCTTAGAGATTGCACGGATCTGCAGCAGAGCCAAAGTACACTTAACTTCTGCTAAGTGTCCCCGGCCCCCACCCCAGGTGAATGCGAGCTCCCAGACTCAGAGACAGGGACCAGATTTGCAGTTTTGCTCCCAACTTCCCCTAGGGAGGAAGCCAGCCCCCAAAATGGCTGCCAGGCCACTAACTGATGTTCAGCCCCTGTGCCTGGTACCTTTTGTGTGAAGCAGCTTGCTAATCTGGATGTTTCACCGAGAAGTTTCTACTCAGCCTTTTAAGCAACTATTGGATTCCAAATAAGTGTACAACATTGTATGTTTGCTTATATTCACTTGACACGGTTTCATCCAGCCGTCTCCATGTATCCAGCCAATTGTCATTTTGTTATGCTAATGTTCACATAATATGCTGTGTGGATTATTAAGCTTTAGATATATAGGAGGTTCTTGAGAATTTTTATAGCTATAAATTACATTGCTATAAACATAACAGACACTTAATATGCATTCCTTGTTTGAAATTATTTACTTAGGCCAAGTCATCCAAACTAATAGGAGGACTAGCTAATAGTTATATATACTCCATTACATTTCCATGACAAACGGAGAATAGAGGACCTTACTTTAAAGTAAATAACTAACTGAAAGATGATCATTAGCATTTATCACTTCTGGGTAATACGGCAGATTGATACCTGCTTCTGTACTACTGTATGAAGGACAGGAGTAGAATGTAAAAAGCAGTAGACCATATTCGGATAAAGAAAGAGCTCAAGACAAGAGAAATGAACAAGGATTTCCTCCATGATGAAGCAAGAAGGCCAGTGTCCAATGTACCATGATGCTCCAATCCCTGCCAGGCTGAGGACAGCCTGTCACCTCGATAGGCAGAGAGACAGTCTGTGCCACAGAGATTCTAACAGAGGGTGGATACAGAGAAGTATGTGGTGTAGGGACAGAGCTTGGATTCTCAGTGCAGGCCCTGGAGATAACAGCCAGACACGGCCATACATATACTCCAGCCACTGCCCAGACAAACTCAGGGATCCTGAAACGTGGCATGCCAAATGTGGTGCAGGCTCCTGAAGGGTGACTAGGAAGATGCCTCCCAGAGAGACAGAGGCAATCACAGACAGGTGGAACTGGCCTCTTCAGAGATTCAAGTCACAGAAAGTTTCAGATATGAGCCCCAAAATATCAGAGACAAGTCCAGCCTTGTTTGCATAGTGAGTTCCAGGACAGCCAGGACTACACAGAAACCCTGTCTTGGAAGGAAAAAAAAGAAAAGAACCCCCAGGCCATGTGAGGTGGGTATAAAGGTGGGTGGTGAGACTCAGAGAGAGGTGGACCAATACTCCACAGGGAGTAGCTTGCCTCGGAGAGAATGACTAATGGAACTTTGGGCAGCTTCTTACCTGGTTATACCCCCGATGCCACAGATCCAGGTCATTTGATCTTGAATTTGCTCCAGTATTCAGGCTGGAAGGTACGAACTTGGGGGAATGTTCCTCCACTCCTAGAATGGTCCTTCATGGCAGGCCCAGGTCACTGGCAGGGCTCAAGAGTTTATTTTCCCAGTATCAGAAATCATAGGGCCATGACTAGAAGGGACCAGACCCCACCCCCATCTTTACACACTGCCACCTGCAATGTACAACTCGCCCTAACGGGCTGAGGATGGCTGACCACTGCAGCTGCAACCCAAGAATTCTTCTGCAAGTCGCAAGTGCTTTATTTAGCACCAGAGTGCACTCTGTCGCTGCCCACTGAGCGCAAATAAAATGCTTCCTGAATGATCTTGGGACTCTGCTGGGTGCAGGGTGAGCAGGGGCAGATGATAATGCTGGCTGTGTTCTCTACGAGAGCCCTTCGTACAGGAAAGCAAGATAGCCCTATATACAAATGACCTAGACCGTTGTTTGGACTTCCTGAAGGCAGAAGTTGGCTTTAATTATTAAGTTGGCAGACAGAACACATCCAAATAGAGAAAACTACTTGACATACTCCAGTGTTTTGGGTCTTTTCTTGTCATATGTAATGCTTATGTGAGAGTCAAAGCCAAATGGAACACTTTTCAGAGAGACTTTTAAATGATAATCTATATTTGTTAGCTTGACTCCAAAACAATAAACTGGCCCTTGGTGTGGTCTTTGTTCCTACACAGGTGCATCTCCGTGGCCCAAACTGAGAGAAAGGCTCCCTTCCACTTTCCCTGGGAGGGAAACACTCATCAGTAAACTCTATGAGCGATGTGGTCCCCTGGCATCTCCCAGCCTCTGTTCCCTATAGAAGTCTATACTAACGATACTATGATCAGCATATGCTCAGCATCTCAGAAGGGAGTATGTGTTCTTCTGATGGGCGGGAAAACTGCAGCAGCAGTGATCCAGAGCAGGAGGCAGCTGCATGCCAGGATGGAGCAACTGCCACTTCCGGGGTGGCATGTGCAGACCCACAGCTGCCTGGTCTCGGGAAGGAAACACGAGGATGGTGGCTGGTCTTGGCTTAGAGATGCCAGTGGCAGCCACCAGTAGGTTCTATCTGACAGACACATACTTGCTGAAAAGGTCCTGCTCTGGTAGCCCTACTACGCTCACTTGGCTCTTCAACTCAGACCTTCACCCACCATGGATCCGGCCTTGACTTTCTCAGGTTTTTCAGGTGGGGTTTTCTCACAAGGTCCTGCATGCAACCTGTCATGGCTACC